GGGAAAAAGACGACTATTTAAATATTTTTAACCAAGAGGGTTTCATATCCAATATAGATATAGGCACCAGACTGCATAATGGTATTTGAACCTGTAAAGACAACATTTTCTTTACAAAAACAACTCACATAAATTATTCAAAAACTAAACCTACTGTATTTGAATCAGACATAACAGACCGCTACACAACATTCTTACAATAATTGGTGTTTCCGGACAAGACTGCAAGAAAAGGAACAAAACAGCAAACAGCTAAAAAAAAATTTAATCGTGATAATATTAAATGCGAAACATGGGAGAACGTACCTACGAAGAACAAAATTTAAACCACAGTAGAGATAACTTTTTATTTGTATTAAAAAAAGTATATGTACTATATAGAAAATTGGATAACTAAAAAAGTGCATTGAAACCCCAACAGAGCAAAACATAACAAAATATAAAACCTATATACAGATAAATTACATTTACTAATCAAAAATACCAGAACTGAACAACTATATTATCAAAAACAAATTAAAAATGACAAATACTCAAAAGTAATATCGGATACAGTCATATAATTTGTGGGAAAAAAAAAACTTAAATTGAGAAAATAAAAAAAGAAACAAATAACAGATTGCAAAAAAATAATCGACACAATAAAAGAGTTAAAAAAGAAAAAAGCTCCAGGATACGACAAAATTACAGCATACAATCGATATCAGAGTACATCGCACAACCGTAAAAATGTTTAATTAACAAATCTTTTGAATCAGGAAAGTGCCCAAACTCATTTAAAACCACAATAATAAAAACATTGTATAAAGTCTGAAGACGAAAGAAACTTTTCTAGGTAACTACCGTCCCCTATCTTCAATAACAAACTTCACTAGCATCTTTGAGAAACAAATTTAAAAAAAAAAAACGCTTAACAACTTTTTTAGAAAATCAGAATATTTTGGCTGAACAACTGTATGGTTTTAAACAAGGATGGTCGACCGAAGACCAGGGTTGGAAAAAACCCGGGTTTTTTTGGGTTTTCTGGGGACTAGGGAATCATCGAGGAATCTCTGATATTTCCTGTGAAAAGGACGCTCATTCAACTGAAAATTTGCTATTTTTTAAAAAACCCAATAATGGTGAGTTTTATCAATTGATAAAACCCAAAAAACCCCACTGGGTTTTATAACCTGGGGAAATTCTATGCCAACCCTGCCGAAGACGCAATAGAAAATGTAACAACACATATTATTTATAAACGTTTGGGTAACAGGAAACCTTCTCTGGCAGTTTTTATCCACTTTTCCAAAGCAGGAGATACGGTAGAACATGATATACTACTTAACTACCTACTACAAGAATTTAGGTATATTGGTGCAGAAGATCAAGCCTACAACTTATTTAAGAATCATTTATTTGAAAGACCTCAGACAGTAAAGATAGAGAAAAATAGCATATGGGGTCCCTTGAGGGGTCACTCAAGGATCAGTACTAGGGCCAATATTATTTAACATGTTCATAGTCTTTTCAAACAAAACATTAATGGACATATAGCCACCTACTGTGATGACACTGTTGTTAAATTTGAGGAAAGAGAATGGAATGAAGTTAAAAACAAAGCCGAAAAAGAACTAGGAAAAATGTTTCATTATTTCCAAAGCCAAGTTCAAGATCTTACGCATCAAATTTACCAAATCTTGGAAAACTCACAATTTTTAACCAAAACTTTTGTAATCGCAAAACAATAGAAATTGAAAATGTAATTAAAATTGAATATCTGGGACTTGTAACTAATTGTCATTTATGATGAGACGCCCACACAATTAAACAATTAGCATGTTTGAAGAAAGTTTAAAGATACTGTTCAAAAAAAATCCACAAAAAAACATTTTTATATCCTTCTGATGCTTTATCTGAAGAATCTAGAGATTTTAGAGATTTATCATATACAGGGTGTTTGGTAGGTCGATGCATATATTTTGGGAGGTGATAGAGTAAGTAATTTCGAACCTATCTAGTCAAACTTACCTTAGTACCATGTCCTATAGTTTTCAAACTATGGCCGATTTAATTTTTTCTCAAAAAAATCCCACATCCTTTGTTGGGCGCTTCGATACGATATTCAGAAACACTGTCTCAACTATTTTTGTTTTGTATCGGAATGTGTATTTCTTGTGTCAAATGCATTAAAAATAAAATAAATAAAAAATTAACAATAAGAGTGCAATTTTAAAGTCATACTATACTAATTCCATTGCAAATTAAGTTTTTTCGGGAAAAAAAAATAGGTTAAAATAAAGACAACTAAGATTTTCAAAGTAATTTAAAAACTTTTTTCACGTGTGCCTTTTCGAATTGCACATACCACGAAAAAATTACAATTTTTTTCTGGATTGCAGCACAAAATTTTTCAAGACTACAGATTCCCAAAAATGAGTAGGTATTTACGGAAAAAACTGGACTAGCCTCTTTTTTTTTTCTTTTTACAAACAAAATGTCCACTTTTAAACTGAAATAAGAGAATAGTTTGTTAACATCTGGCTAATTTTTGTGATAATTTGTGATGCTGAATATTGTATTGAAGCGTCGAACAAACGATTTGTTCAAGAAAAAATTGAATCGGCCATATTTTGAAAACCATAAGACTTGGTACTAAGGTAAGTTTGACTAAATAGGTTCTAAATTACTTACTCTATCACCTCCCAAAATATATGCATCGACCTACCAAACATCCTGTATATTAAAACTGATGATTCATTTATTATTTTTTTTGTTGATGAAATAAATAACAAAATGGATTTTTTTTTTAATTTGTAAAAATAAATCAGTGTCGGATTAAATTCATATTTTTTTAATACATATCAAAAATGCCAGTTTAGCACAAAATCGTCCATATATGAAATCTTGTAGAATATAACATGAACATAAGTAAAAAATTGTTGATGGTGGCGTGGAGACGAAACGTCCTAATTCAATTTTGACAGCGTCTTCTTCAACGCCAGAAAAAGTGGAAACAATGAAGAGATATTAATATAAAAATATCCTTTAAAATTGATTCGGGAAAAACTTTAAAACGATTTTGCAAAATTTCAAGTATTTCCGGATATCTCCAAAAGTACATATTTGGAATTACATTACATTACATTGCGCAAGTTTGTCATAATTTAGCTAGCTCTGTATCTTCATCTTTTTTTCTAGATTTCAATAATGCGGCCCGAATTTGAAACACCCTGTACAAAAAACAATATTTATTTAAGAAATAATTATACAATTTATTGAAACAAATTAGCGAACATTATTAGCAAAAATAATTTTCCAAAATTCAATAGATCTTTGGCAAATAAAATGGAAACAAACAAAACAGCAAACTGTGCTAATAAAACTTATAGGATTTCTATAATATTAGAACAAAAGTGAGGCTATAAAAGTTGTATTTAATAAAAACAGATGATATCCTGGATGACAGGGTAATCTGAAATTCTACAACATTTATGAACTATCAAGTTAAAAGAGACAAATATTTCACACAAAAAAAAAAACAAACATTTTCTAATTTCTAATTAAATAACCTATCCAACTCACTATACCTATACTGAAAATATCTCGGAAAATGTATTTACCAAAAACAAAAGAATGAGTACCTAAATAGTTAGCAGAGGTAAGTGAAATTTGGAAATTCTACAAATTATTCTTTATCGAATAGAAAATTTGGAATTTTATCCCTTTTTGAATTTGAATTTAATAATTACTACGTTTTCATGGATTTTTCAAATCGTTTTGAATCAGGGTTGGCAAAAAATTTTCTCCACTTTGGTTATTGCAGGGATTTTTGATGGATATTTCCATAATAATTTAGACAAATATCCATCCATACAAAAATCCACACAAAAATCCTACAAAAATTTTTAAAAAAGGAAAGATTAAAAAAATACAACAAACCATTTTTTATTGAAACGAAACACTCAAACTCTTTGCAAAAAAAAGGACAATAAAAAACAGTTTTTAATTCTAAAATAATCACTTTTCATTCCTTTATAGAAGAAAATTAAAATAAAATTCTGAGATCCATAACTAAGGGAAATGTACAAAAACGCGGTCGGTAGGTGATAGATATAATTTTCACTGATTTGTAATTTTACTTAAATTTTATACTATTGTTTGTCAAAATGATAAGTAATGATGATACTTGATAGTTTTTACTAGTTTTTGTACTTTATCAGGTTGAAGACGGTTTCGAGTATCACTCCAAACAAAACCATAAGAGTTGAATTGTTGTGTTATGTTATAATAATACCTAAAAATATTTATCAAAAACACAAATATCCACCAAAAACACCTAAAATCCAAACCAAAAATCCAATTTTCAATCCACCATAATACAATTAGCCGGATTTTTGCCAACCCTGTTTTGAATCCAATCCTCTTCCCCGTTTTCATGCAGAGGCAAAATTAGAATTGAAATCGAATTGCAAGTTTCTGAATTTAAATCTCGATTCGATCCCAAAAAAAGGTGGAACGACCTTGAGAATGAAATCGATTTCAGTACCTGTTTTCATGGCGTTTTCAATACCAAAACTGTATTCAAAACGATTTCCAAACTCCATGAAAACGTAGTACCTATATATGTACATAAACAATGTCCACATAAAAATATTTAAGTGTTCAAAAAAATAAATAGATAACAGTCGAACAATTGAATTAAGTAAGTCCCTGATTAAAAATTATTTGATCTACAAAAAAAAGGCTGTTTAAAATAATTATGAAATTTTTTGATTGACATTAGCTCCATTAATGGTTTATCAGTTTTGGGTAATTAATTAAGTTTAAAGGCTTCTGATTTTAGAGAGTAAATTTTTAATTAAGGACATTACTTTATTGGCTACCTACATGAAAAATAATTATTAAAAATCAGGCAAGTAGTACATAGAAAGTACAAAGAAATTACTGGGTTGAGAAGTGGAGGTAAATAATAAATACCTATAAACTGGATGGTACTTCTTTCTAGAAACCTACAGTTTCTAGTCAAAACATTCTTTGGAGAAGTTAGGCCCACATAATTTATAGTGTCTATATGCTAGATAGGCATCAAAGGAATCTTGTTGAGGTTCTTTTAATGCTCGTTTTATCCTTTTTTTTGGATTATTTACAAATGTTATCAAGTCACTGGGGTTTTCAACAGGACTTTTAGCAGGACTTCTATTAGGACTTTTACCCTCAACTGATTTTTCTGATTCTTGTGCAGGTTCTCTTGGTTCAATTAGATTCTTAAAAAATGTTACCGAGCCACTGGTGCTAGGCTTTGGTGATGATGGAGTTGGTTCATTTAGATTCTCAAAAAATGTTATCGAGCCACTGGTGCTCGGCTTTGGTGATAATGGAGTTATCGGTGCCCTGATTTTATAAGTACTTTTAGCAGGACTTCTATTAGGAACTTCACCCTCAACTGATTTTTCTGATTCTTGTGCAGGTTCTGTTGGTTCATTTAGATTCTTTACAAATGTTATCGAGCTACTGGTGCTAGGCTTTGGTGATGATGGAGTTATTGAAGAGCTGCTCTCATCAGGATTTTGAGCAGGACTTCTATTAGGAATTCCAGCCTCAACTGATTTTTCTGATTCTCCCGATGATTCTCCCTCGTCGGAGAACCAGTGAAAATCGACAGTTTTACCAAAGCTAGGTGATACTGCATCAGAAAAAGTCTTAGCCCAATCAGATTTTAATTGTTTGTAGAAATTATCACTAGATGAAGTAAGCGGAGTGTTGATTTTATTAGGATTTTGAGCAGGAGTTCTATTAGGACTTCCATTTTGAACTGGTTTTTTCAATTCTTCCTCCAACTCGGACAAACTATAAGAAGCTGCGGGTTTAACCGAGCTAGTCGATGCCTCAGTTGGTGGTATATCAAGAAAATGGGCATATTGTTCGAAGAAATCATTGAGTCTTTTTTTCGATGCTGCAATAAGCTCTGGATCTGATGGAGGCCGTGTTAAGTTTAGGCCACAGTATTTAAGCATGTCTGCGCGAGTTGATGTAGACTTAACTGGTGTGTTTAAATTTTGGGCTATGTCTTTGCTTTCAGCTGGTCCAACTGTGTTCTTTTCTTGTTCGGTTTTCTTTTTATTGAATCGATCTTGATTTTCCTCCTCGGATTCTTCAGAGGAGCTGGGTTCGCAATAAGCCCTGAATCTTTGTCTGTCCATGGTGGGTAATATTTATTTTTCTTCGCTCTTCAGCACTGATCAATAACACTAGACTGTGGAATGTGAGGATCAAACAGAACTTTGTAGAAACGAGAAACGTAGAAAATGGGAGAAATAAAAATAAAATAAGAAATAATTTTGAGGTTCGGATTAAACAAACTGTCGAAAGTTTAAAATGATTGACATTATCTATGACATTATTGTAAACCGGTAGTCAAGGACTATACACGAGGAGAGGATGTCCGATTCCATGCCACTTCACAGACAGTGGCGACAATAGAGGTCTCGCCGCCATTTTGGGGCTTACCTCTCGCTAATTTTAAATATGAATATATAGGATTTAAAAAATTAAAACAACATATTTGATGACTATTCTTAGGTACATCAGATACGTTACTTTCAATTTTTCATGATGGTTGTTCACCTAAATCCCATATATTCATATTTAAAAGTAGCACGAGGAGGGCCACAAAATGGCGGCATTTTCAATATGAATAAATATAGGACTCTAAAGAACCCATCAGAAATAAGACAATTATCGCCACTGTGGTTTAATAGAGTATCTGAGAATAGAGTCAACTGTACTATGCTCTATCTAGTCTGACGTCAAAAAACAGTGTAAGCAGAGTTTTTGCCATTTATTCTTGATACTCCTATAATTAAGCACTATTGCTTTGATTTGTGCAACTGTGAGTTATAAAAGGAGTAGGTAGCTGTAAAATTTAGTGAATGCCCTTCTTTAGCGAGTTTTGTTTGAGGTTGTGTTATCCCTTTGTTTATGTTTTAACTAACTTCTTTGAATTGTGTTTTACCTGTTTTACTTATATCTAGATTTTTCACAAAATATGGAAATATAAGTATAGTTGAATATTTCTAGATTTTCCGACTTTTTTGATAACAAAACTACGACCCAAAAGAGGAAAAATGCCTTGGAGTCAAATCACAAATCACGTCACTTTACCAACCCTAGTTTCGCTTATCGATTCGATATATCGACACCGTATCGATACTGATTTAAAAAAAAAACACTCGGTATCGATGTATAGCATCGATAAGTATCGATACGGCCCTCAGAGATGTTGTCGAGGGAGTCGAGGCTAAACGAATAATCACGTCGTCCAAATAACAAAATATTAGGCAATTTTTCGCGGATACAAGCAATCTAATTATAGCCGCTTTCCAGCTGACGCTTTTGAGCACGCAATCGAGCTTTTGCGCACGCAAATGCTTCAAGCGCGTGTTCGTGTTCCAGCCGTACTGCGCTTCGAGAGCTGCTAAACTTTTGCGTTTCAAATTCAAACACAGAACACTGTGCTACACCGTGCTTGAAGCACACAGCTGGAAAGCGGCTATATGCTGGGTTGTGTCAAGGATGTTATGCGATGTGTCAATTGTGTCATATTCCCCTAACTCCTTCATCATCAAATTCTGGGCCTACGAGTGGCGTCACTAACAGCTTATAGTGATGACGTCACCCGCAGACCTCGATGGAATGCTTGCGAATCAGGCTGTGCTAGTGAGTTAATTTTTTCATCGATTTTAAATGTAGAAAAGGTGATTTTTGGTCTGTTCTCACAGAAGAAATTAAGCGTTCTTGATCTTCGAGTATCCCATAATTTGATGGTGGAGAAGTTAGGGGTGTATGCCACAATTGATACGTCACATAATCTACAGTGGCTAAATAAGCCTTTACATACAGTGGCGACAATAGAGGTCACGCTGCCATCTTGTTCCCAACCTCTTGTTACTTTTAAATATTAATATATAGGATTTAAATGGACATCTATCATAAAAAATTGAAATCGACGTATTTGATGACCATTATCAGGTCCATCAAATACGTTGTTTATCATGATTTATGATGAATGTTCACCTAAATCCCATATATTCATATTTAAAAGTAACAAGGGGTTGGGAACAAGATGGCGGTGCTTTCAATATAAATATATGGGATTTTAGAACCAATCAAAAATGAGACAGCAATTGTCGCCACTGTGGGTTATAGAGTCACTGTAACATAATCCAGCAAATGATTGCATGGTTATGGTTATCCTCGCGAAAAAAATCCTATTAGCTGCTTACGGAAACACTGATCTAGGATCAGTTCGATCAGATATATGTGTTCAAGGGTTAGTAATTTATTTCTAGGTGGAGCTAGGAGCTAGTGTGTTTCCGAATGAATGGATCGGATCATCCGCAAATGAATCTTGCCAAACGACACCTCTCAACAATCCTAACCTCAAAAAACATTCATTATTTTGATTTTCCGATTTTAATTTTTATCTCAAGTTCTCAAATTTCCATTCTTTTGGGCTTCTTGCTGCTGAAGATGTCTGCCACATTTATTTTAAAAGCAAAACAATCAACAAACAACTAAAAAGTTGGATTAACGGCAGGGTTGCCAGATCTATGAAATGAAAAAGCGGGACTGATGTTATCCCAGAGGGAAAATTTGTTTTTGGGTGCCACGCCCAAAAGCATAAGGGGGGGGGGGTGTAAAACTGCGTGGTTGCCACATTGAAGAAAATTGAATAGATTTCATCCCGTTTTAATATATAATTAATTAAAATCATCTGAAATTCTGAAAAAATAAATGTGGATTATCCTTTTGATGTTATAAAATTGGTTTACATCCGAAGGCGCAGTTCATGACCCAGAGGCAGAATAGAAATAACGGAAAAATTTATACGTTTGGCGATGCAAAATCTCTGATTTTGAAGGTCGTGGTAATCGTTATAGCCGATAAAGGTAACCATAACTGATCCAAAAATTGCTGTTATTTTAAGGGGTGCAAAAATTCTCTAATGTTATGGTTTTTGCTGTTAAACTAATGTAATGTTTTTCACAAGGGTTCCTATTTCGTTTAATAGATGGCGCTTGAAAACGTAGATGAATCAAAACGCCATCTATAAAAAGTTCTCTTTTTTAATTGTTTTTATTACTATTATTTTGCTTTTATTACATTATATCATTGTATGTTATAATTAGATTTGAAAGAATGTTTTTAACACGTAAAATCCTTAATCATTCACTTTCGCCACTAGATATTTTATCACTAGTGACGAAAGTGACGTTTTCGGCTAAGGTGAAATACGACGAAAGTTTATTTTTCAATGGCCAGAAATTTTTTTTTTTGCAGATGCTAGTTTGTGCAATGAAAGATTTGGATTTTGTTGGAATTTTTGACATTTTTATACCTGTGTTTTTTGCAATAAATGTGAAGATTGGGTGGAAAAAGCGGGAAAATCGGGACAATTCACGTGAAAAGCAGGACCTGAAATTAATAAAAAAAAGGCGGGACTGATTAACAAAATGCGGGACTGTCCCTCCTAAGGTGGGACGTCTGGCAACCTTGATTAACGGCCATTTGCACCGCTATAACTTAAGAGATATTTATTATTTATTCCAAGTGGAGCTTTGAATGTGACTCTTGTAGAAACAAAAGTCACATTCAATAAGGCTCCACTTAGATTAAATATCCCAAGTGATAGCCGTGCAAATGCCCATAAGAAAAACAGCTGACGGCTGCCAATTATATACCCCGCACTTTATCAGGGTCGATGAGAATGATGAGATCCAAGCATATGATACTGAACCGAACAACCCGATCACTTTCCGTACAAGAGTGAACTGATCCTAGACCCCTTTCCGTACGTCCAGATTGGTTATCCTTGTGATTGGGTTAACCCGATCAATTTCTGTTAGCAGCTTTAGGTCTGTTTCTGCAGAAATCACAAACCAGTCAGAGCGAATTTCATTGGTTGAAAACAGTCGGAAAACTAGTTTCAACCAATGAAATTCCCTCTGACTGGTTTGTGATTTCTGCAGAAACACACCTATTATGATAGGACGTTTGCTCCTTTCTCTATCTCGAAAAATAGTATAAAGACCTAAAGACTATAAAGAGCAGAAGAGCACACACAAAAAAAAACTTTTGTCAATTTTTGTCATTTTCTTTGATGTTTACAGATGGCGCCACAAAAATGGATTTCAAATATCCTTACCACTTGAGGCGAATCGTGTGAAATAGAGAGCTGGGGGGGGGGGGGGGGGATTCTCCTCCTCTAGTCGCAACCTTTCGTCCCGACTCACCCGTAGAAAGGCAATGGGATAGTCGTGACGATAGGTTGCGACTAGAGGATGAGAATCCTCTACCTGCTTTCAACTTTCACGTCACAAGTTCCTGAGCTAGTGATTCGGAGTAACTACTTTGTTGACTATCCAATTATTATAGTCAATAGTGGCGTTCATCAGGACGTAGTGCTACTGTAAAGATCATCAATTTTCTGTTGAACACCTGTTTTGTAAAACGCAAAATTTAACGGAAACTTAAGTCGTAACGTAGGAAATAAAAGTGGACCATTTCTTCTGCTGCATGGAAGTCTAGAGCCGGAGGTGGCACTATGAATTGACCCTATTGGTGCAAGGATAATACCGATAATACACACTACTACTACAGGAGAGTCTATCCTCATAAGGCCTGTGTGGAACAAATCTTAAGCCCCCCCACCACGACAAATCACTAGTTGTGACGTAGGCAGCAAGTCCTTTCTTGCCTTGGCGTAGGCTATCTGCACCACAGGTTATGATTCCGAGGGCTTTTGCTTTTTGCAAACTTGGTTTCACTACATAATTTAAATTCTAAAACAACTCTTTTTTGGATCTCGTTTTCATCTTCCTCTTTGCCTATTACGGTAATTAAAATTGAAAGATAATTTTCCTCATAAATTTAAATTCCAAACTACGACGGCTAGTTCAAACAGCTGACGACCTCGTTAATGAATGACGTCGCAAATGGTGACACACCAACATGGCGGCGATTATCAAAAAAGGGGCCGATAAGCAATCCTTAGTAATGTGTATTATCCTTGCTATTGGTGTATACGGGTAAGTACTTGCGCTATGTCGAACCGGAGCATGATGAAAACGCATTATCCGCGTATGGCTAAATTCACCAAAATGTTGCACCGCCACGGATGCGGTGATTGCGATTCACTTAT